TCGTCGCATCGTCGTTTAGAAATCTCTGGAAATTAATTGCGAAAAAGCAATGCCACAAACCCTTTCATAAGCGTTTCCTCATTATTCCCACAAACCCTTCACATTTGTCACCGTTGAAGCCCCGTTATTGCCCGGTGCCAGCTGCTATAAGCGTAACGTCATATCCAAATCCACCCATCCCTCCGACAGCCGTAATAGATTAATTAGTGGAGGCTGAAACTCGTCGTCCGCGCCCTCTCGCCGCTCCGACATTCTGTCATCTCTCTTGTTCTCTGTCATTATCTTTCTTTCTCGTCTCTGTCTCTCTTTCTCTGTCTCTCTCTCTCTCCTCATATCTCATTTTTTTTCTCCGCGCATTGGCGAAAGTACCGCGGGGGGGTCTCGAATTCTTATTTTTTTTTTCTTTTTTTCGGGCATCGCCGCGGAGCGAGGCGAGGGAGCGTCCCGACGGCGATTAACTTTTCCTCAATGATTAACACGCCGCTGATTGCCTGTCGGTTGCCTGTTTAGAGCCACGAGGTCGGGATGAAATCCCTCGTAATGCTGGACGAGCAAGGCGGTAAGCCATTTCACTCTAGCCTCTAACAATTAACGGTAGATACCGCGTTGTGCGTTGTTGAGAGGAACGAGGAAACCCGAGAGATAAACGAGAGATTCAAGCGAAGCTCTCCGCTGTCATTGCTGGTCCCGGCCGACACAGAAGCGACAACCGACGATATAAATAATTTATTTTACAGTGTGCATACATGGTGTACCACGGATAAGAATAGTACCCGTCCGTTGCGATTTTGTCGCTATAAATAGCCGCGATCCCTTGCCTCGTTAATAAAAATATTTCAGATATTACATAAACGGATGCCGGACGGGGCGTTTAATGTTTACAGCACGACGCTGATCATTCCGTTCGATATACGCGCGCGATTGTTATTTACCTTTAAAACGCATCTCGCTGTTATATTTTTAATCACGCATCTGTTTATAGCGAGAACGATGGCGCGCAAAATGCTTTTCTTATCCGTCGTAAAATACGCGGCGATATCTCGCGAGCGTGATAATCGCGAAGACGGGTGGAGGCAACGTCGCAGCGTTGCTGATAGACGAAAGTGTCGTTTTCCTACGCATACGCATCTCCGTTTCTTCATTTCCGTTCCATGACCATCGCTCCGAAATATTGCTGCGTATTTCGCACGCCCATACAGATCGTCCCGAAAAAAAGGATCAGGATTATTCTGATTCCGAGGCAGCTGGAAGCTGATTTCCTTGTGCGAGAATTTCGTCCTTTTCGCTCCAATTCACGAGAAAACAAGATTTCTTCGTTATCACATTATTATTCTTATTCCTATTAATGTAGTCTGTTAATTTTTATATATCAGAAAAATTACAAAAGTTTTAGAAGTAAATTCTCTTATGAGATGTAATACGAGAGAATTATAAATTGCTACATAACGATTGACCGGTCGGGAAAAATCGGATACGAACTTGCCGACGATGAAACTACCTTTTTTCCGGGACAACCGGGAGAATAATTACACGCGACACTTACGCGTGCATCATCGAGACACTGCTGTTTGCTTACCAACTATGGGGCGTAGCCGGTATATTATCTGATCGGAAGGAAAAGATTGCATCAGCCTCTTCTCTTGTATAAAAACTAATACAAAGAAATGTCGCGAGGGCTCAGAAATATCGCTTTGTTTCACTGTTTTATCGCTACGCCCCAGTTATCAATGATAAACTATGTATACTATATCTAGTATATGTATATACTACACCCAGCAGTACTCACAGACCATCGTTATACCGTTCACTTACATCTCGCCTTCAGCGCTCAAGCGGTGTTTTCCGTTTTTCTTGTTTTTTTTTTTTTGTTTTTTTCTCGGCCAACTCTGACTCTCACGCGCGCTTCTTTGGTTCTCTTCCGCCCTTCTTTCCGCCCTCTTTCTTCGGCTTTTTTCCGGGCTTCGCCACTGCTGTCTGCGTATACTACTTTCTCTTCCACACTGCGTGTACTAATACTGTCGTTACAATACTTACTTTCCGCCGTACCCTTCTTGTCTCTCTCTTCTCTCACCTTTCTTCCGGTTCCTACAAATCATCCTCGTTCCTCATTTCCGCAGCTCCTGAATTTTTGTCTCCTCAGGATTCGCATCGCACGATTTTTGGCATGTTGATGCGTTAAAGTCACACCATCTTCACTTATCAATTTTTACGTACGTTATAAATCAAAGACTACGTGTTTTTATATTTTTCGTACTTAGAGTAAGACACGTCTGCACAAAAGAGAAAAGAACAGGTAAAAATATCGTCAGACAAGATTACTTTGCACCAGAATCCAGAAAAAGCTCCTACAATAAAATATTTAAGAAAATAATTCGTAAATATTAATTTACTCACAATAGCACTCACGAAAATCAATGATTGCTCGTTAATTATTTTTCTAGATGCTCCTGGTAATTTTTTAATAGCAAATTTATAATGAAATAACAGGATGAATGATTTAGATTTAATGATTATGAAAGAATTTATCAATATAATAATTTTTTTACGCGAGTAAAAGGATTTTACATAGTTTCAACCAAAAATCGTGTGGTGCAAACGCGAACCTTTACAGAAAACAGAGAAAAACAAAACAAGCGGACAACAGACGTAACCGAGGTTTTCAACATTGTCGCGTACAGCATTTCGCGGTGCATTCCTCGGACAGTCCACGACGCGTGTAATCGCGTTTATATTTACCTCACACGAAAGCACATTATGGAGCGATTTCGCGGTTTTTCGCCTTTGTGACTTTCCTGCGCCGTGAAAAGTTAAAAACATTCGAGATGCAGCAGTCGATGCAAAGCGAACAGCCGCGAATCCGGCCTCTGCTGTTTAGCCAGATGTATATCTCGTTACCGGCGCGTATATCCACAAAAAAATCGAACACCCGCTCTACTCGTATTACAACGATATCGCTTGCACTCTTAGTCGAGTATGAATATGTCTGTATTCCACGCGCCCATACTTTTAGACAAACTCGTGTCTATCGTGTACTGTAGCGAAACTTGTGGGCATTGCGTGAATGCAGGGTGTCCCAGAACTTCGTGTATGAATAATTTGACCATTTTAGACTCGATTGTGATATAACACGGTTAGAAATTGCAATTTGGTTCTCTATAATGCAATTAATAATATCCGGTTTATTACGAGACCGGTAAAATTTTAATTTGTCGAAACAAATTCTGACAAATTAAACTTCAATGGCGCAAATGAATTGCATATCTTGCTTCGCGGGTAATTTTGTACAGATTTAACAAAATTGCAATTCAAAGATTATTAAAGGATTTAAATATGCGTTCAAATATATACGTATTCTATATTTAAATATTTCCACGAAACGGTAACTGAGAAAGATTTCATTAACTGCGATGTGAAATTTCTCGAGATATGCATATGCATACTTTGAAAGTGCTGAGATTAGATATTCGGAAAAGTTTCATCGCATTTGCGCCGAACTTTCAAAGAACGTGTAGCGAGTGCGAGTTTCGGGACACCCTGTACATTTAGCTGAGTTTCACCATCCACCGTGAGGAACCAACTCACTGCACATATCCGGTAGGCACATAACAGAGCAACTCACCCGATGTAGGAACTCTTCGCTTAACTGCCGCGCTTTCGTTGCACTTTACTTTGTGCAGAATCCGGAAGCTCCATCGAGCGGATGTTTTCTCATCCCGGTCTTTCCACGCCGATGGCGCTCGGAGAACGATGCATTTAATTTTGCTTCATCTTGATTTGATTTTTCTTGATTGTCAAAGTGATCCAAGTTAACCTCTTTATTACTATTTTTGTTTTGTGTGTTAAAAAATGCTTAATCTTTAATCATTTTTGCAAAATGTATTTAGCAGAGTTTATATATATTTCATGTTCTTCATAATTGCAGAATTTTACGAGTATCTTGCATACAATGCATAAAACTGATGACTTAAGTGAATTAAATTAAGTTACTTATATAATCAATGCGCGCGTATGCTGCTATTTAATAAGTATTTTAATAAGTATTTTAACGAGCGATTCATCTTTTATTCGTCATTAAAGATTATTGAGGATAATAAATTCCATTGATAAACCGTCCAACCGCTCGATTGAGTTTCCGGTGTAGAATATAAAATTAAATGCAGCTTGAAAGGAGAAGGAAAGGAGCGTCTTTGTATCGATAAACGTTTGAGAAATGGAAGAGTAATCAAACTTGGGAATTTTTATCAAAATTCTGCGCAAGGATATTTTGCAGAGACTCGATTTCTGAATTTCGTAATTCGCAATATAGATATTGCACGAAAACGAGACGAAAATCGATTAGACAAAATTCGCCTCTTTCCTTCGAGCGAGGGTTTTAGCGAACCTCGCTTATTTCCCGGGGAGATTAAATTAGATAACGAAAGAGGATTGGGCAATGCACTCGCGCTTTCGTTTGCCTTTTTAGTCGGCGATCGCTTGATTACATTACGTTGTTATGTAGTAAAAGTTCCCCGACAGTTCCGAGCTGCTTAAAGCTACACGTGTCGAGCTTCAGACTTTTTGCGGTGGCTTTTCACTTTGCAATCATTCTTCTATCGAAACACATCATTATCGATCAAATCCTTTCTTTTCTGGGAATTTGCCGTTGTGATAAAAACAGGCTAAAATAATGAAAAGAAAATTAGTTAATAATATTCGTTAAATATCGGGGGAAAAAGGCTTACGCGTATGATAAATAAAAAGTAGCACTGCAAAGGGTTAAAGCTTGTTTTTATTTCGAAGAAGCTTGATCATAATATCATGTAGAACACTTTTGTCAACAGAGTCGTAGACACTCTTCTAAGTCAGATTTAGTTTAGTTTGCTTTTAGAGCGTTTGCTATAGCTCCTGATTAGAGATAACGATCTTTTTCGCGTGGTTGCCCTTTCCCCTTCGTATCTTCACGAATGAAAATCCTCTTATCGCCGACTGATTAACTTTATTACTCCTGTACAACAAAACAGAACAACTGGACCGAATCGAGGAGGGCATGGACCAGATTAACGCCGACATGAGAGAAGCCGAGAAGAATCTCACTGGAATGGAAAAGTGCTGCGGCCTCTGCGTTCTTCCCTGTAACAAGTATGGCATAATTATTTTAACATCCCTTTGCTCTCTCCTATCATTTTTTTTTAAGTCCCTGCCCTTGTTTTATATTTTTCTCAATTTTGCTGTTAATCTACATGATTTATTCTTCTCCATTATAAATGTGCTGAGAGATAAATTTAACTCACATTATGAGATAAATTATCTAAATTGAGTAAAATATTAATACAGAAAGATTAAGGGATTATTTGAATTTATCTTGCACCCATTTTGACGTAATAAAAAATTATTTTGCGTCATTTTTTAAAAGAATAATGAATTATCTATGTGGAACTAATTCGAATACAAATTGAATACAAGCTCTCACGAATCCACGGAATTACGAGTGTCACACAAACGCGGATTGTAGCTTGAGGGTCCAATTTTCAAACTGATGTCTCTCGTTGTCCGCTAAATATTAGTCGGTAAATTTTTCCGCGAGACATCGACTTAATCACCGGGATCCGGTTTAATCGCTCGCGTCGCTCGCGCGACGATCTTGCGCGCACAGAGGCGCCAGCTTCAAGGAGGACGAGGGCACGTGGAAGGGCAACGACGACGGCAAGGTCGTGAACAACCAGCCGCAGCGGGTAATGGACGACCGCAACGGTCTCGGGCCGCAGAGCGGTTACATCGCCAAGATCACGAACGACGCGCGCGAGGGGGAGATGGAGGAGAACATGGGCCAGGTGAACACGATGATCGGCAATCTGAGGAACATGGCGATCGACATGGGCAGCGAGCTCGAGAATCAGAATCGGCAGATCGACAGGATCAATCGCAAGGTGAGTGAGGTGAAATGGCGAGTGAATGCGCATCACCGGTGTGTCCATGCTGCACCGCCGACTTGGCATGGCTCTAAAATCGCTCGGCGATCCGCGTCGTCACGCTCGTCAACATACTATGGCTTTTGATCGAAGGGATGAAACCTTGGAAAAATTGAAGTGCTCTGAGCCGAAGCGAAGTATGCGTTTATCGCGCTTTGACTCTATTTTTTCAAATTTGTTGTGTGAGATAATTAACAAATTGTGTTCAAAGTAAAGCTGACAGAATCAGCCTGTGAAAAATCTATAATAAAGAATGAAGGGTGAAAAATTCCTTTCAATCATGTTATTTGATATAAACAGCTTTTAATATGCCTGTTTAAAATGTAAACGATAACTGGTTTCATAGACTGTTAATATATTAAGAATATTTTCTATTTATTTGTGTGAACCAAGAGCTGTTATGTAAAGCTACAAATCGATAAATCTAAAGTGATTTAGTATGTCGACGGGATTACGTAAGTCTGGTACACAGCTGCGAACAGTGTCATTAACAAATATTGCGCGATTTAATCGAATTAGTCTGATGAATCAAAATTTGTTCGAGTAAAAAATGTACAAGATGAAGTATCTTAAAACTCAAGTACAGAAAAATTAAAATTTAAAGATTCTTTATACTTAAAAATGTACGGAAATTTTCGAAAATTTCTTGTATACTCAAACCTTTCATTCTCAAATTGTCAAGGACATAAATTTATCGTTCTTTGAATCCTTAGATTTTTTATTTCTTAAAATCACAATTTTGCATTTAATTATATTATAATTTATTTTTTTAATTGAATTTCGAGTAGATAGTTGTATCTTTTTGTCTAAAAAAATTAATTCTTAATTGAATAATTATCTGAATTAGGAAAGCGTGTGTTTCTTTAGTAAATATATGTACAGAATGTAAATTTAATGAGTCGCGAATAACTGAGATAATTTTATGGTCTAAACTGTTTGCACATGTGTACCCGACTAAAATGGGATGAGCTGACACGTGTCTCGATATATGCGCGATCTTCAATGTCACAATGCACAAGCTCAGAGCGATGCACATCACGTTCGTCGTCGCTTTCGCTTTCTTATGTGTCCATCAGCCTTTCCTCTTCTTTCCTTTTCCCATCTATCTTTGATACGTTACTTCCTCTCTCTCCTATTTTTGCACATCACGTATTCCCAATTCGGGCAGGTGTCCCGATGACGCCCGTCGTCGTCTTCCGTATTCATAAGAGAAGGCTCTTATGAATGAAGGATATCTGAAAAGCAACATGTGTGTGTATCACGTTTAATCCAAAAAAAAAACCCTCCAAATTGCGCAACGCAATTGTCGCACTTCCAGAAACAAATTTTAATCCTAAACAATGTAATATATGTATACTGAAACTTCAAGTGAGTTTAAAATTTTATGCTTATAGCTGTGAACAGTGGATTTAAATTAATGATGCAAAGAATATAGACAACAAATTTGAAAAAATTAGTGAAATTTAATTTTCTATCTTTTATACTCTTGTTGTCTAACAATTTCTTGCTAATTTGACTTTATTTATTTATTTTGTTATAATTACATAGAGTTTTACAGAAATGTAATAACGAATTTACACAATTTTTGTAATTAAAGACTTTGACAGATTTCTGTTTGTGCTGTTTAGGATTAAAGTTTCAGCGAGATCGGAATTGCCATTTGCGAACGCGCAATTTTATAAATCCTCAGAGATAAGATTTTGCAATAGTTTTCGTTGCCACGCGAAACTGCATGTTTTACGCACGTGCATCGCACAATTAGCCCTTTCGCCCGATCTTTAAACGTCGCCCTTACTCTACGACACCTATTCTTTCGGTCGCACCTGTGTTATTCTTCAATCACATTCTGTGGGCACAGCCTGCCTTGTGTGTTTAACGCAATTGCATTTTTATGCACCACCCAAGCGTCTAAATCACGCTTTCAGATTTATCTGTTTTTCTGTTTCTATTCTTTCTGCCTATTGTCACGTAATTCTCTCTTGCCAGAACTAATAATACTTTTCACGGGTTCTCGACATATCATAAAAAAATTTTTAGCAAATTAAAAGAAAAAACAAAATTTTTTAATTTTATAATTTAATTCAAATTCTTAAAATTGTAATGAGATTGATACAGTCGTCGGTTTAATTTGTTTAATCATTAAATTAGACATTATTCGAGTCAGAATACAATTTAAAAACTAAGTGAAATTGTTGTGAACAAATAAAGGAAGTATAACTGTCTATTAATTTATTATTTTAATTATTTTTGAAGTATTCTTTTTCAAAAGAAGAGAAGATTGAGAGAACCCGTGCCGTGTGTCACTTCTGAATTTTTATCATAGTCCTTTGTGTAGGTCCTAGACAAAAAAAAAGGCTGAATTTTCTGACTACAATGAGCTCTTCAAACGATCAATATATATTCACATTTTGTGATAACATTTCAATAATTATCTGTAATTATTGTAACGCTGTTATTCAAATTGCTCGATTCGAACGTCTCGCATAACTCGTAATCGTGTGTGATACTTACAGTATTTGCATTAATACGAATTAAACGCGCACCAAATCAATAATCGATATTAGACGCATCAACATTTACCCTCCAACCTTTGATATTTATCGAGACTAAATTTATCAGTTTTCCGGCGACCTATTTCCTCTTTTCCTACTTCTACTTTATTTTTCCAATTAATGAGTTTTCGTTATTTTTTTCTTCGGCAGCTCAACACTGCCGATATTAAACGTCTTTCTTCGAATTTTGCTTATCTAGCAATATCCACTCTTCGACAGTACGGCTGATATCGATGATAAATATTGATCGTTTGAGAGAAACGTCAAACCTTTAAAGGCCATATCTAAAATAAAAGTATAACTCTAAAATATCTCTAATCATTTTTGTTGTGTCGTGTAAATATCGTCGTATATTTTTCACGTATAATATACACAATCGATCAGATAATTACAAAAATTCAATATAAAAAAAGAATTATGGTCTTTAACGGAGTATCATAGTGGTGCACAATCTCGGACAACTTATTAATTAATCGTAAAAATATAAGAGAATTAAAAAAAGAGTAAAAAAACAAGATAGTAATTAAATATCAATTTTTTTTTATGAATTTAGTCATATTTCATTAAAGTTTTCTCAAGATTGTCATTAAAATCAATTAATTATTCTTAAGTATAACATTAATTGCATTGTGTAATATTATAAATATAAAAATATTGATCGTATTTCACGTAATATCAATTAACTGCTTTATAACGAATGCAGAGAAAACACGGGAATAAAGTCTGCTCGAATATCCGACGAGCCAATTTGAATGTCGTATAATGTCGAGGGTTAAACCTCGTGCGAAACCGCAAGACTCGATCCAGTCACGAGAAACTGTGCACCACTGATGGACGCGGAATACACGCGCGCACACAAACATCCACACCACACACTGTGACCGAAACCCGAACTGATAATCCGCAGGGCGAGTCGAACGAAACGAGGATAGCCGTGGCGAACCAACGTGCGCACGCCCTGCTCAAGTAAAATGCGTCTTCTCTCTGTCTCCACGTTATATCCGCCTCCTCCGAGCCCCAAGTTGCATATCACAGAGATGCGTCTAAAAAAAAATGGAGATTATATATGCATACTTACGTGTATACATATAAAGGCCTGATACACACGATCGGGGCTGGGATTATTCGGCGCGAATTAAGTGTTGAATCAAATATCGAAACATAAAATTTACATCATAGTTAAACATTAGATATTAAATTCAAATTATTTGCATGTTAACTTGTTAAACAAGTTAAATATTATGATATTACCCACATACGTGATTATTGTAAGTGAATATTGTGTTAGTTATAATGACGTTACGTCCGAAAGTATAGTAATATTTAATTATTAAAATAATCGGAAACATATATAACATTGTATTCGAGTGTATAATGTTGAAAACGTTCGGAATATCGAGCGATCCGAATATTCCCAGCTCTGCGGATGATCCACCATTGCCTCCGCCCTTCTTCTATCTTTCTCGTCGTCGCTCGAGCACCAACCCGCGTGCTGTCTCCAATCCGATTTTTGCAAGCAATCTGTGCAACAACGAAACTACCATCACCAATTGAGTACCACTTCTACTTACCACCACTACCAAGCTTTCCGAGATATATGACGATATATACAGTGAACGACCGGTCGATAGTCGCGGTGCACAGTGCTCTCAGAGTGCGATGGAAATGACTTACTCTAGATTTTTCGTGATAGAAGAATATCATTTTCTTGCTTATATTTCTGAAATTTATTTCACAAAAATCTTTCAATTTTTTAACTCGGAAATTATTGGCGTTTCGACATTTTTTTGTTAAAAAAAAAAAAAAATTTATCAGAGAATCCATTGTTAAAATTAAAATCGCGGACACTTTGCATATCTTGAATTTTCTCAAATAAGCTCCGTTGATGTAAATGTAATATTTGAGGAAATGGCACTCAACTTGATTAACGGGCTTAAGATTGATTTTGTCCTAATGGAGACTTTGTTGCGAGAGGAGAGCACGGTGTACCGAGATTACGGGCGGTAATGCATCGCACTGAGATGTGTCATCACTCATGTACACACGTATGCTAAGACCCGCCACGTGTTGTCATTCCCGTTGTGATTGTATCGTGAATGTGGCGCTCGTCGTCCTTCCCGTCGCTGTCGACAACGACGACGACGTCGACGACGACGAAATGCCTCTCGTTGAAACCTTTGAACCCTGGGACGGCGTTCACGTCGCTTACGCTCCGATGCTCCCCGGGGTCGATCGGGTTAACACGCTTAACACGCCGTGAACCACGAAGAGAGCATGCGAATCTCATCTCTCTTTGGATCGCGCGAAGCCTCGTAAAAAGAAAAAATATTCGCAGCCGTATCAATTTTTGAATGTCATAACAAGCACAAAGGAACTTGAGAAATGAGTTTTGAGATTTTCGGAAAACTTGGATTCTTCAGAATCGGAAAAAGAATTTTATCGCAGCAAGACTGCCTTTGGTTCGAAGATGGCCTTTGGATCAAACTGCTGTCATAACCGATTCTTTGATATTATAGCAAAATCTGTTTTGTTGATAAAATAGAAAAGTAAGTTTGCAAGTAAGTTTGTTTGTAGAAATACAAATTTTTGCGCTGCTAAAATAACAATCTTAACAAATGTATTTTTTTGAGTGAAACTATCATCGTTTTGTAGGTGAAATAAAAATTAACTTGTTGAAATTGCAGTAAAATAATTTGTAGATTTAGCCAAATTTTTGGATTGACTAAAAAAATCTTTTCTTAAGGAAATTTAAAAACAAGTGTTCGCTTTGTATATAAAAAACGTTTGTTTGAATTTTCTTGGAAAAGCGAAAAGATTACTTGGCCAACCCAAAATTTGCAACAAATAAAATGAGTGTTACAAGTTGAAGAAAATCAAATTTGATTGGAAATCTCACGACTTTCTCAGATCCTTGTGTACAGATCGCGCGTCTGCGATATTAAATTCTGACGTTAAAGCGGAAATCACACCGTGGTGTCAATTCTCGACTCCGATTTACAACTTATCGATCGGACCCTCGACGCCGACCAGCAAGAAGCTCGCGCATACGACATTGCGTTTTTGTTTTTCTTGTTCTTTTGACACGCAGGGCGAGTCGAACGAGACGAGGATACAGGTGGCCAACGAGCGAGCCCATCAGCTACTCAAGTAAGAGGCCCCACACTCTCTGTCGACCACCCGCACCCCGTCGGCCGCCACGAGCATCACTACCATCACCCTCCACCACCAACAACAACAACAACACAACAGCAACAACAACAGTAACAACACCAGCACAATTACACCCGACAGTCCACTCGATTCTTTGCTCACGGTCTGTTTTACTCGCGTTTCGTTTGTTAGACGCGTCCGCCCACTTGTTGTTTTTCTATATTCGCGTTTATCGATATCTAGCTCGATATCGATATTATTTAAGTTTAACCCTAAACTTGAAAGCGAGTCCTGCAAGATTACGCGAGTTGCAGTTTTCCTCATTGGTTAGATATTATGATTTCCCCCTCTTTTTGTAGATAAAATAAGAAAATAATGTAAATTGAAAATTTATATGTTGCTGACGACGCGAATGTCTAAAAGTCGTCGTGAAGCGACTTGTATAAAAGAGTTTCTAGTTTTTCAGATGCCTCTTGGACATTCGCGTTATCCTGATTATCCTTTTTAAGTTATGTGAGTGAAGAGTACACTCGTCGTAATTTACTTTATTAACGGTGCAGTTGAAGAAATTAAAAGAAAAAAATAAATAAATAAATAACTTTGAAACATTTATTACCAATACAAGTATGTTTTACTTTTCCTTTTTAGCTCTTAGTTTACTTTTGCAAGTTTAGGGTTAACATACCGATGTATCGCAAGAGCGCGTTACGAAAAAATCCGGAGATTAAATTTGATTTTTGTTTTAAAATCTCCGAGTGTCCGATGTGAATTCCTGATTATAGCGTCAGCGACAGATCTAATTTAATTTCCGCTGGAACACTTCGATTCTCGTCAGTCCATTTCTGCAACTGGAAGTTAAATTTAATCTCCGAAGTAGACTCTTTGTCCTTACGGCGGCGATAATCCGCCGGTGAAGCTTCTGGTTCGAAACAAAAACATCTCGAGCAGCGGTGCGGCTAATCGGCAATTAAAGCTGGGTGAAAAAAAATTTAATTTGAGACCAGCAGCTTCATTGTACCGATCACAACGAAGTGCCGATGGAATTTTTCTCTAGCGAGGCGTAAAATGTCGCGTATCGTGTAGCTTAAAAGACGGGGCTGTGATACTTGATATCCGGTTTTAAAAGCGAGCAGCTTCGTTCTTTGCCGACAGAGTTTAGCGTTAATTAACGGTGGAATTTAAATTAAAAAATATATATATATATATATATCTCGTTGATCACACATAATATATACACACACACATGCTGGAGATTAAATGCAGCGATTACTTTAATCCTCTCAATTCAGTCGACTCTGGAGATCGCGAACGTAATTATATTGGAAATATAAATATATTAAAAAAAAAAGGAAGGAACAAGATCATAGTACAAACATCATTACACTTATCTCCTTAGCGAGACGGTTCCGAGTACTCGTGTAAACTTTATTTATTGTCTCATTATTAAATATTACCGGTCTCCGATTACAATTTACGGAGCGCCAATTCAATATAGCGATAACACATCACTTTACGAGCGAAAGGAGCGACACATTAATCTCCCTCCCTCAAATCTCCCAAGCGCGGAGGGCCTCGTTGTTTCCTTTGACCAAAAAAAAAAAAAAAAAAAAAAGACAGAGAAAATCAATTGTACGCATCCCCGAACTCGATCTCGATTTCGGGAATACCGTCCGGACGTCATCATCCGGATCCGCGTTCGAAAAGTGGAGGTCGATAGACAAACAACTTGGAGGAGGAAGGGAGTGAAATCGCGCGCGCGAAGGAGCGGGACGAGGAAGAAGAGGGAAGTTACGAGCAGAGGAGGAGGAAGAAGAAGAAGCAGTGGCAGCGGGAGAAAAAAATATTTGTATCGAGGTGATCGAAGCAACGAAGAGAACGCGTTCAACCACACAATTGTAGAAAATCGCTGAAGCTGTAGATAGAGCGAGGTCTTCTCTCGTCGTTTTTAAAACTCCACTCACATTCGACACAAACGTAGAGCGTAGGTGTTATTCTCTACCCCCTCGCCCGCCCCCTCCCCCAAACCGCCCCCCGCCCCTTGCCCCCTTGCCCAGGCCCTCTTCCCTTAATTCTCCCCTTTTGCGCCAATCGCGCCGAGATCACAGTAAGGTTTAACTCCAAAGAAAGATTGTACATTACTGTATTTACGCGAGGACGACGTACCTACCTTGTTAAAACGTACGATGTGGAGAGGAGGTCGGTAAAGATGGCTAATGTCGCTGCCCGAGAATCGATATCCTCCGCGCGGACGGTCCTGGGTGCGCTTTTCATCGTTGACCGGAAAAGTTCTTATATTAGCGAGCGTTTCTTGTTATCGCTAATGTTTAGGCAGCATAGGCTAAAGTATCCTTTAGTGGTTAACTCGGTAAAAATAAATTTTAAGCTAGTTTTTAACTCTCTACAAATTATACAGTTCTAGAGTAGTCGGTTCTTGCGATCGTTACCCGCGTGGTCTTGCGTTTAATTCCTTTGAGCGCGCTGTACTCCCGGAGAGAGAGAGAGAGAGAGAGAGAGAGAGAGAGAGAGAGAGAGAGAGAGAGAGAGAGAGACGACGAGTACGGTACGTCG